GATGTCCTGAGGATTGTAAGGTGGGCCACAGAAACACTGAGGAAATGAAGGAGATGATGTTGAACACAGTCTTTGCAGGTGACTCAATTTTGCCTGGAGTTTGCACAAAACATAAAATGGGATCTCAACTTTTCTTTCTCTTTGGCCACTATGCTACTGTCCAATGTCTGTGTTTTTTTTTCAAAATAATAATTTATTTATTTGAGTAGCAGAGAGAGATTGAGAGACAAGAAGGACTCCCATCCATCTGCTCATTCAGATGCCCGCAATGACCCTGGGTTGAAAGCAGAGGTTAGACTGAATCCAACCTTTTCATATGATCAGCAACTACCTGAACCTCTGATGCCTCACTGCCTATCCCTCCAGTCTGCATTACAAGGAAACTGAAGTCAGAATTCAAAGCAGGGAATGAATCAGAAATTCTACTGTGGAATGCAAGTGCTATTCCCTGCTTCTCTGCTAGACTAAATGCTTATCCAATTCGTGGCCTTTTTCCAGCATTACGTGCCTTGATAATTTCAAAAGCAGCCAAAATCAGTATTTACAGGGTAACCAACATCAAGTTAGCCATTTGAGTATGAACAAGTGGCTAAGAATTTATTGAGGTCACTGTAAAATTATGCTTTACTCAGAGAAAAGATAAATCAAATGGCTCTTCTATCATTATCTCCGTGCTCTGCCCTCTTGCACTGCACAGTCATGGATTAAGAGCATTTTAAATGGTAATGAAAGGAGGCTATGGTCAGGGGAGTGACCACATTATTGATAGCAAGCAGAATCTTCTGACTCAAGTCAGAATGTTAGGTTTTCTCTAATTGGTGTGTGATTGAAAGTGAAAATTGAGGGGCCTCGCATGGTAGCCCAGTAGCTGAAATCTTCGCCTTGCATTCGCCTGGATCCCATATGGATGCCAGTTTGTGTCCCAGCTACCCACTTCCCTTCTGGCTCCCTGCTTGTGGCCTGGGAAAGCAGTAAAGGACAGCCCAAGTCCTTGGGTCCCTGCACATGTGTGGGAGACCCAGAAGAGGTTCCTGGCTCTTGGCTTTGGATCAGCTCAATTCCAGCAATCACAGCCACTTGAGTAGTGAACTGGTGGACAAAGGATCTTTCTCTCTGTGTCTCCTTCTCTCTGTATATCTGACTTTCCAATTAAAAAAAAAAAAAAAGGTGAAAATTGAGTAGAGTGCCATGGCAAGAGCAAGACCCAGCAATGTATTCCAGCATTTAGCATTTATCTCATTTCTTTCTTTTCCAAAAGACTTGCTTTTTGTTTTCTTCACACATTTGTTCTTTATTTCCTGTGCCTTCTTGATGGGAGTAAGAGTATCAGTGCTGTTTTACAGAAATGTACTGAGTCACCTCACATGATTTCATTACTGTCAAACTTTATGCAAGATGTTTGTACTTAGGGTCTTCTTCTGCCTCTACCACCATAAGCCACCGATTCTGTTGTGATTGGATTTGAAGATCTCCTTGTTATGCCTCTTAAACTGAACCCATTGCTTTTCTGACACCACCCAACCCTTTTCTTTCTTTATACTATTAATATTTTCATAATATCTTGGGATTTTTAACACCTTGTGTGCCTTTCACAATGTTATTTTCCCTAAAAAATCTGGTATTTTCAAATGTCTTCATTAAATAGTTATAACAGAATTTAATATATCCCCATTCTATGGGAAACAATGATGGGACCAGATTTTCCCATTAATATTATGTAGCTAGTTAACCCAAGGGGCCCCAACAGTTCAAAGCTTACATAAATATTAACTTCCATTCCCTACATCCAGGGCTTCCTGTTGTTGGTTTAACCCAGGGAGTCTAATAACTTGGCTCCCCTGAGGCAGAGCCTCAGGAGTCACTGCTTAGTTTTCAAATCAATGCAAAACTCTGAATCATTTCTTACACACTTCTTTCTTGGTTCAGTGATCTTGAACTCATTGTATATGCCATGCATGAGAATATAAATCTAAGAATTTGTGATCATTATGTATTCATTTCAATCTTATGTGTCTAGGTTGACTAATTCAAGTCAAATTCTGACTTTCGGATATGTGTGGGTATTTTGGAAGGAAATGGATATTTGGTGTTTGTTGTATATGAGGGGGTGGATGAGGGTTATAGGGGGTTATATGAGTTTTGTGTTTAGGATGTGAATATTTGTAGGGTTTTGGTTTGTGGAGATGATTTATTTGGGGGTGGGTAGTATAAATTGTGTTGAAAAGACTTTTTTAAAGAAATGTTTTAGTGGAGTTTTGGTTTTATTTGTTTGGTTTTATATAGTTGGGTGGATAGTGGTTGGACGTTGGTTATTTATGTTATTTATTTATAATTTAAATTTTCAGGGGGGTATTGAAGGGAGGGGTGTTGTGAGTTTGTTAGGGGAGTGAGTATATGAAGGGGAGGGGGGTTTTAGGTCATTTGAGTAAATGATTTTAATATTTTATGTAGAATTATGGAGGTTGTTTGTTTTTAAGGAGTGGGGGGGGGGGGTTAGTAAATATTATTAGGTGGGAGTTGTATGGTGATTTGTTATATATAGATTTATGAGTATTGTTTTTATGGTATTTAATGATACTTATGTGAATGTGGGATGTTTTTTTGGTTGTATAAAAGGTTTTGTTTGTAGTAATATGTTGTGGTGTTTTTTGATGAATGTTGAAGGAAATTTGTTGGAGGTTTTGGGTGTATGTCTGAGGGTTTTGGTTATTTTAGTTGTGGTGTAATAGTGGTGTTGTGTCCTGGAAGATTTTCTCAGTACTAATTAAGCCTTTTTGTTTATTTGTTTTTACTGTAATAGAATTCTCCTAAGATTGAAGCTGATTCTTCCATGATTGTTGGGTAGTAATAAGAAAACTCATTATCCTTAATTATATTTACCATTGGAAAAAATACGTATTGATTATAATTTGAATTCAGGACACTGTAATTAAGAAGTATGGAGACTTCAGAGTTCAGAGTTCTTACAAAGTTCTAGTGTCTTACCAGTGTCTCTCCTTTCAGTCTGATTTGGATAGAAGAGAATGAGAGCTGGCTTCATCCCTTTTAGCTAGACTTCTTATAAACCAAATAATGGCTACAGTGGACTCACTGATCATTATTACTTCAGTAGACAGTCATCACCGATCACTGTTACTTTAGTAGAAACGGGGAATGTGAGAGAACTTAAAAACCCAGCTTGGGAGTTCAATTTCTTTAGGAGGAGAATTGCTACCTGGATGTAATGGAGCTTTATTATTTTGTATAAATGTTTCTGTTATTTCAAGAGGAAATATAGTCAGCCTCTTGCTCACCAGGAGCAAATTCCCTTCCACAGAGAAATCAAACATGCTGCAAAGGACCTGTCATCTTCCCACTTCATCACCCGTTAGCACGAATGTACAAACAACAGGACATAGTTTTAGATAATGTGATGAACGTTCATTAACAGGGAAGAGACTTTTCTTCTAAGGGAGCACCATCTATTACTTTTCCAAAAGCAAAAAAAGACTAAAATTCATATGCCAGGTAGTATCTTTTCATGTCCTACATACATTTTTAATTAGCTGTGTTTCAACTAGAATTGAGTTGGTGTTTTCAAATGTAAGCTTCGTGATGCAGATACTTACATTTCATTGTACTCTCAAACCTGGGGAAGACTGACCTTAGGGAAGTGGAACAGTGGTCATGGTTGAATATTTACTATGCGCTGGATGTGGTAAGTCAGCATACAGAACATGCTAGATATACAAAGCTTAATTCAGAGATGAAGACTAGACTGTCTAGGTGTATGGATCTTGTCTATGACCCATACGTCATGCACAGATGTCAGAATAATAGAAACTTTACAGAACAGAGTTGTGGTACGGCAGATTAAGTATGTTTCTATAGCACTAGCATCCCACATGGGTACCAGCTTGAGTCAGCCTGCTCGACTCTGATACAGCTCCCTGATAATGTGCCTGGGGAAGGCAGCAGAGGTTGGTTCAAGTGCTTGGGCCCCTTCACTCACACAGAACAGCTAGAAGAAGCTCTTGGCTCTTACCTTCAGCCTGGTCCAGCCACAGCTATTGTAGACATTTGGGGAATGAACCAGCAAACTAACGATCTTTCTCTCTTTGTAACTCTGCCTTTTGAATACATATATAAATCTTGTTAAAATAAATTTTAAATTGACCTCTTGATAATGAAATATTAAATATTTTATAGGATGTCTCTGGTAAAATATTATGATAAGGTTTGTGTGTATTTATTGGCTATGCTCTGTGTAAAAGACTGCACCAAGTATAATTTTTGAGTAAGTTATTCACAGCAGGTCTAATGTCTTACAAGACTTTAAAGACAGAAAAAAAGATGGTAGACTAGAGGATTAATCCAGGATTGACTGAAAGGGGAAGAATGAATTACAGCCTAGTTTTATCCACTATCTGTAATGCAGCCAAATGTATCATTCAAAGGAGTAGAAAGAAAAGATCAAGTGGAACAGTTGTTGACAAGGTTTGAGTCTATGTCAGAAATGCTCAAATTTGTAGAAAGATATAAAAGAGGAAAGGGCGGACAGTCATACAAAGAATAATGCAAATATGGAAGTATATGGAATAACTGAAAATACTGAGATCAAAGCTGAAAAAACTCTGCGTCCCATTTTCAACTACCATCTAACTGACCAGGATGACATGAGGAACAGGGAAAATAGAAATTATGGATTTTAAAGAAAGAATGATAGACACTGTGATGTTCTATGTATATTCCTTTCAGGAATGATGGACTTATTCCCCTACTGTTAGAAAGTATTCAGCTAGCTATGCAAACTATTGCCCCACTGGAGAGAGACACATAACTTAGAGACCTGCTGTCTTGCCAGGTTGTTACAATTAATGACTGTTTGATGTGAAGTTGCAAATACTGGCCACTGATCACTTCAGGATTCCCTTTAGAGTTATCAGAAGTCCACAGTGAGACCGAACTAAGGCCCAATTTGTGAAATATTTCGACCTTAACCTTCCCCCTCTCCACCACAGGTATAAATCACAGGTGGATTCCTGATTAAATCATCTACATTATTGCTATACGTCACAATTGACTTCATTAAGTACTGAGGCAGAGTTTTGGAACAGGATCATTTTCTGGCTGGAAATTGAGTTCTTTTCATTGGTGGGTAGAACATTAGGTAAGTCCATGAAAAGGGTTAACAGTATAAATGTTAAAACATCTACCTGTGATGAATAAAGATTGGATTGTGGTGGAAGGGAATTTATTCCATGGTGAGACATATCAAGAATTTGAAAATCATAAGGGAATTTTATCTGTAGGACAAGGGAATGGAGGGGCTCCTGCTAAGCTTAAATGATATGCTACAGCTGCAGACTAAAAGCAATGGCCATTTTGGCTGGCGTAATGGGTAATTATAAGAGTGTTGCTATACTACGCAGGCAGAAAGAAATGTGTTTGGGACCAGATAACATATTCAGGGTCTGGAGGATGGTTATTTGTCCCATTTTGACAATACGTAGGCAAATCTGTTGCTGCTTTCTCTTTAGCTGTACAAACACTGTTGTTTTAGGAGCCAGAAGATCCAGGCAAATATTAACTTGACCAAAATATTTGTTAGACATGAATTTGAGAACGTTGTTACATATCTTTAATTTTGTTCCCTACATGTAAAACAAGAAGGAAAAGCAGTTGAGATTGCAGTTCTTCAGAATTGTTATTATAAGAAGAAAATGAACAGCTACTATAATGTGAAAACCTTTTTTAGAAAGTCACAGACTCAAGAATATTTTCTAAGTGTAGCAGTCTATGCGCTGTTCATAGAAGACTGCACATGAACTTGCTTGTTTAGTGTTTTTTTTACAAGAAATACAACTCATCATTTAGTTACTATTTGATGAAAGGAATAATAAAGACAAATTCATCTCATAAAAGCAAAACAGGATGAATCAGATTTAATTTGTAAAGTGTTGACAATTTAGAGTGTGTCTTAACTTCTGTTACACATACATACGCAAAATGAACTAGAGGGAAGTGTTAACACAGGGGAAGCACTCAGATCTCAGAATCGGAGTGAAACATTCATGAGAAAAGCAGTTCCAAATCCCTTGCAAATTGTTATGCAAATATATTCACAAAATGCATTAACATATTATTTTCAGTCTTATTTTTTGAATATTTATAAATGAAGCAACAAAGCCAACAACATATTCTGATAGCTTTCAGTTGTTTTATATATAAATTATTTAAACAATGTTAGCTAATTTTTTAATTTGTAGTTACTTGTTTTCATCTTCTATTCAAAGAGAGAGAGAGACAGATGGACAGCTAGAGAGGCAGACAGATATCAGCCTTCCACCTACTGGTTCATGCCTGAAATACGTCCATCAGTTAGGGCTGGACGCTGTTGAAGTCAGGAGCCAGAAACTCCATCTGGGTTACTTAGCCATCACTGGCTGTCTCTCAGACTCTGCATTAATGGAAAGTGGTAGCGGAGAGAGCAGAACAGAAACTTGAAGCAACCACCTCCATGATACTCAGGTGTTACAGTGGCAAAATGGGTGCTGCATCAAATGCAAACACTGTGGAGTTTATATTTTTGCAATACAAAAGAGAGAGCTGCAAGCATGCATGTCTTGAATCCTACTTAGAATACTGAAGAAGTTGCAGAGTACGGGAAAATGTACAATTTTAAGGACATTCCTAGTGAAAATTAGATTTGCTTTTTAGTCAGACAAGCTACAGAAGTTTGTGCACTAATATTCTGTTAAATTTGTGTGATAAAAAAGATTGTGTATGTATGCACAACTTGAGGTGCTCCGTGGTAACTAATACACAGTTGAGCACCTCAACTTGAGGTGCTCTGTGGTAACTAACACACAGTGCAAAAGAAAATGTAACCTATTCAAAGTGAGGTTGACATCTTAAGATTTGATTATTTCTTATAGTTTGTGTCTATATTATTGAAGAGTAGTAGGGTTTTGTTTTTCTACCTGTTATTTGTTGAAAGCTACAAAGTAAAGCATTAAGTCTATGACTGTAAAGTGAAGTAAAAGTATGCCGTTGTAAAAACTTTTTAAAAAACCGAAGGAAGGAGGCAAGAGGAGGGTTGGTGGGAATGTAGGTAGGAGGCTAGAGTGATTAGTATTCCTATGCTTCTAAATCTGTATTGTGAAAAACATGAAATATTTTCACCTTCTGTGCAAATAATAAAATTAAAGAAGTAGAGGGAATGGCCAAATGTTGAAATATATTGCTAAAACAATATTATATAATGTTATACAATATTATATAACAATAATGTTAAAAATATCAAACTTTAGAGCTAGCAAGAAGGGTAATCTGCTCCTTGCAATGCTGGCACCTCATTTTGGAATGCCCATTGGTGTCCCAGGGACTCTGTTTCCAATCCAGCCCCTGCTAATGCTCCTGGGAAAGCAGCAGAAGACGGTCCAAGTAATTCAGCTCCTGCTATAACAGAGTTCCTGGCACCTGGCTTTGGCCTGACCAACCCCAACCTTTATGGCCATTTAAGAAAGCAATTAAGAAATGAAAGATTTCTTTCTCTGTCTTTTCTTCTTATCCTCTTTATTGCTCTACTTTGCAAATAAATAAAGTTTAGAAATGTATCACTTTTATCAAATTAACCTAAATTTTACAAAATTATAATCACAATCTCATTAGGAATTTTTCTAGAATTAATAGAAACTATTTTTGAGTAGTATCTAGTATATATATACACATATGCATATATATGTGTATAATTTAAAAAATTAAAGCACAATTTACTCAATAAAGTATCAGCAAAAGATTTGAACAGATACTGCAAGAAGAAAATGTGTAAGCAAGAAGCCCCTCCACTTCAATTATACTATCATTTATTAGAGAAAGTTAACTTTGGACCCAAATGTGATTTCTGCTTATCTACAGAATGACTAAAATTTAAAAATATACAACATAAGAAATGTGTCAGTACAATAATTGCCTTATAAAGTTCCTCCAGTGACTCCAGAAAAATATTGTCATAAAACTGGCTGAATCTCAATTTTTATGGCAAAATAAATATATCTTTTAACTCCATTTTTCTCAAACTTTTGAGTTTTGCTCATATAACCAACTAGATTCTCAACCTTGTTGCTTAAAATGTAAGCTAAAACAAATGCCTTAGGAAAACTTCCAGTAGGTTCCTAAATGTAGGCACATTTCATACCCTATAACTCCTAAACCTGTAAGATAGATAAAGAAACTTTACCCAGAAAAGTACATGTTACATGGTTTTGCTTAAATGAAAGCCCCTCACAGACAGAGCTATCTGGCAGGAAAAAAAAAAAAAAATCAGACCACAGTAGTTGCCTCTGGGAGATGTGTGCAGGTATTGACTGGACGATTATACAAAATAACCTTTCAGTAAAAAGGAAATATTATCTGGCTTGAGAAATCTGTTTTGGTTAGGTATTCCTATATATCAAGAAACACTTAGGGAAGAATCTGAAGTGTCCATGAAACACTGATGTATTCTGAGTTCAAAAAATGTGAGAAATAAAGCTCCCTGTTATTTTCAACTTATATGTAAAAAAATAATAATAATAGTACTATTAAAAGAAGCAGAAATGTAAAGAGAAAAAACAAATATCAGGACAATAGATAGTAAAAAGATAATCCATTGCTGGTTAAAATTTATCCCATTTTTAAACAAGTAATACACACCATAAGTAAAAATCAAGAGAAAGATAATTTTCAAACCTGAGTTCTATATTCAATCTTCAAAGATATTTAGAATAAAAAATAATTAAAGGTATGAATGTGAACTGTTATCAAAGTAAATGTGAAATCTGAAGATTTCATAAGTGATTTGATAGAAACAAGCAATAATTCTCCAGTTAAAATATTTAAGCAAAAATATTTCTAGATTTTCATTTCATGTGAACTAAAATTTTTCTGCATTTATAAGTGCTAATTTTTAACACTCATCCACTATACATCAATACAACCTTGACCTATTCTTTCCCCTGGAGAGAAGATTGAGAAGGAAAATATGTTTGACAATGTGTTTTCTTGTAATAGAATTCCCAGAAGAGCATTATAAAAAATAAATTTCCACATTACCATAAATGCTTAATAGACTTCTGAGAGCTCTGTAGGACACTATTTGTTCATATGCTAAATAAATACTTTGAAATATTCATCTACTAAATTGCTGAATGTGTGGAGAGAATAATAATTTCCCATGGCATTTTAGAATTTTGAGGATATTTTTGTCATCTGATTTGACTTTCAGTGTGTCAGTGAAGTATTCGAAAATGGGATAGAAATTTGGTATCCTGTTTCACTTCTTAGGCAATTCAGGCTCAATAGACTCAAAATAACAGATTATTATTAATAACATTAAATAATTAAGAAGTAGAATGATTCTTAAGGTATTGAATATGAGTAAAACTTTTATTTTCCACCTTTCAAGCTATCCTCTGAAACCTGTGATTGTATCACTTATGTCAGGAAACTTTTTTGTTTTTTAAAAGATTGATTATTTCTATCAAAGACTCATAAATATCATGCATGGTTTCCTCACACTTAAAAAAAAAATCAGGTAGACAGATTCCAGAGCAGGGACCAGCAGTTCATACACTTACCTGGTCCTAATGAGAGTTCATTGATAAGGACACCAATTTTTTTTTTTCACTCTCCCACTCCACTTTCTATTTTTTCTATCATTGTATCTTTAGCTAGCTAGCTGTGTATTTGCCTATGCATCTATCTGTAGTTAAGTTTGCAAAAGATATACTTTTTGAGATTTATTTTTATTTGAAAGGCATATTTTACACAGAGAGATGAAGAGCTAGAGAAGCTCTTTAATTTGCTTGTTACTCCCCAAATTGACCATAACTGCCAGAGCTGAGTTGATCCAAACCTGGGAGCCAGGAGCTTTTTCTGTGTCTCTCATGTGGTTGCAGGGTCCCAAAGACTTGCAGCATCCCCCACTGCTTTCCCAGGCCATAAGCAGAAAGCTGGATCAGAATTGGAACAGCAGAGACTTGGACCAGTGCCCATATGTGATGTTGGCACGCCAGGGTGGAGGATTAGCCTACTGCACCTCTGTGCCATCCACACAAAAGACACACCTTTAAAAATAGATAATCTAATACAGTTTATCAATGTTGGAATATAACTTTTAAGTTCCATGTTGGCTGTTTAAAAAGAGGGGTACCTAATCAAATAGCTTCATATAGGGTTAAACAGCTGAGTAGAGGGAAAGAGACATATGGGGAAGAAGAAACACTGCATGTGTAGGCTTATCTAGCAGAAAGAGAAGTAGGTAGTAGAAGAAATACTAAATGTGAAGGTTTTCTAGAATTGTATTTTGAATCTGTGAATACTTTCATTAAATGTTTAAGATGTTTATTATGTTTCAAATTCTACTATAGACAGGAGAGTTCAGGGAACAAAGTGCTTATTATAAGATATCTTTTCTAAGCTAAAGATGTGGACTTTGTGTGTTATGAAGCCTGGGAATGTTTGTATCTTTTGATTTGCTTCTTATTTTGGTTTAAGATTGGTCTTAATCAGAGGAATAATAATTTGAGTTTGTATATGACAAACTGAATACTGACTAGGGGAAAAAAAAAAACCTAAAAAGTGCCTAGGAAGAAAAACCAGTAGTGCAGTCCAAACAGGACAATTTGAAGACCTGAGTTGGAATGGATGTTGCAGTGTGATGGATCAGCCCAGTGTGGGTTACCTGCATCCCATCTCCAAGAGCTTGCTTTGGGTCCTAGCTCTTCCATTTCCAATCTAGTTTCCTGGTACTATATACCCTGGGAAATAGCAGATTATAGAACATGTGCTCTAAGTTGCAGGTTAAGTTGCTGGCTGCATGGTTTGCGCATGATGGCTCACTTGACTAATCTTTGGCCTGCAATCTCTGGCACCCATATGGGTGGAGGTTCGTGTCACAGGTCTTTCACTTCTGATCCAGCTCTCTTGCAGCCTGGAAATGCAGTGGAGTATGGTCCAAAGCTTTGTGACACTGCATCTGCATGGGAGACCTGGAGGGGTCTCCTGGTTGCTGGCTCCAGGCTCCTGCTTCCTCTCTTGATCGACTTAGCTCTGGCCATTGAGGCCATCTGGGGAATAAACCAGCAACATGATGATCTTTTTTTCTGTCTCTCCTTCTCGCTGTATCATTGCCTTCTCAATGAGAAATCAATAAGTCTTTAAAAATAAAATAAAATTTAAAAATCTCTAATTCCTAAATTTGGCTTGGCCCAGCCATGGTTCTTAAGGACATCTGGCAAATAAACCAGTAGATGGGAGAATCTCTTTGTATATACATGCCATTTTTATATCTTTATGTTAAAAGTATTTTTATCTGCTTCCTAAATAAATACTGTAAACATTTTGTTGAGGCAGTTGCTAAAGACATAGTAACTCCATGTTTCTTGATTCTGAACAAACATGGGGGATGGACTGAAAAGGCCACACTCTATGCCTGGATGCTTCCTTAAGGACAGACAATGCATCAGGGCTTCTGAATTCCTCTTTCACAAAAATGGAACTTTCTGTCAAGCTGAACATAGGAGGAAATATTTTGCTTTTGATTCTTTTTGGCAAGATGATACATTTTGGAGAAAAATGATTTGAATTGATTGTGGAAAATTTCCTGCCTCTGCTTTCTCCAGATAAATTGTAAATACTTCATTAGAATTATGCACAGTCACAACTGATACGTGTTACTACTTGTGGACAAGGAGAAAGCTAGGGATTGAGACCTGCAAAGAACATGTAAATCTGAGTGTCACATCTGTGAGGAGAGTGCTTGGGTACACTAGCCATCTTGTTTCTGGAGTGGCCCGACTCTCCCCACGTTTCCGTGAGTTCCAGAGTGAAGAAGCATACGTGCACTGATGCTCGTGTCCGACCTTCTTATGCAGCTCCACCATGCACTCACCGCTCACTCAGGGGCAAGTTGTCCCAGCTGTCCTGATACTCGGGGGGGATGTTGCTTCCTCATTGCTTTCCCAGGCCTAGTCAGCACTGCCGCTACTGCCTGTACCATTATGCATTTCCGGGATGTTATGATCCTGCTTTCTAGAGCTCAGGTGGGAACAGTTGAGCTCCTCCACCCCTCCCTACGTGCTGTGTGACCTCTACTCTGAGGAACCCACAGCAGCACATGGAAACCAAGAAACCAGCAACTTCAGAAAAGCTAGCCTTGTTTGGATCCCACTGCTGGCCACTCAGTCTCATAATTCAAGCATAGGATCATTACTGTGTTAATTTGTGAAATCCCTGTAACCCTGAGATGCGAATGTTTGTTTTTTGGTATCTATGAAATTTCATATTTTGAAAATTTTTGCATGATTTAGGGCAAGGGAAACTCCAAAAAAATACTGTTTCAATTTCTTCCCAGAGGAAGATTTGCCCTTTAAATTGCTGTTGGTTAGAATCTGTGGTTTTACTTTTGTGAAATATTTGCTGCCCACTGTGTCTATAACAATCATATAATTTTTATCATATTATAATTCATCAGTCAGCAGCTACATCAGAAGGATCTGTCTCTATTTAATAACTACTGGGAATGAAAATGAATTAATCTGCTAATTTGAATAATGAATGAAAACACACACCATGTGAGCATGTGTTTCAGAACAAATTTAATGCTTTCCTCAGTTAAAAAAAAAGAAAATGTGGAAAATGTTTATGCCTTGGCTTCAACTGCCTTGCTCTTAAAGGCTTCTGTCTTTATGTGTATTCTCATTTTGTTTCTAAGAATTCAGAAAGTATGCCTGACCAGAGGAAGTAGAATTAAATGGATTTAAACCTATTCAGATTTCTTCTCAGACTCAAAGGCAGCTCCAACAACTCATGAGTTTCCATTGCAATATCCCATTAAATATGTTATATAACTACTAATACCCAAGAATATTGTGTGTATGAAAATGAGTTTTCAAAGTTTTGATTTATTTTCCTTTTAAGATGAGAGGTAGGAAGAGAAACAGAGAAGCAATGGCAGAGAGAGCTTCCATGGTTCATTCTCTGAGTGTGTACTAAGATTGAGTCAGGAAAATCCAAGAGATTGGAAATAAATCTGAATCTCCCACCCAGGTGGAAGCAACTCAAGTACCTGAGCCCTCATCATCCATGCCTCCTCGGCCGGGCATCAGCTGGACACTTGGCCTGCAGGAGAGCCCAGACTCATCAAACCTGATGTGGCATGAGAACAACTCAAAACTCAGTTGAACTGTCAAGCCAAACTGCCTCCATAAAAATCAGCTAATGAAAGTATGTAAGTGATAATATCTCTGTTTATTCACCCTTGAACCAGTCGCTTCTCAAAACAAACGCATGTACAAAGTCAGTTTATTTTAAACTTTGCAATTTAAAAACTGAAGATTCCTTTTGAAAGACTTGCCTCATTATTTGTATGGTCTATAAGCCTTTCAAAGTGGTAAAGGTAAAAGCTTTGGAATGTTATTTCATTTAGAAAAATTAATCATAAGATAAGTAGGCAACTATATCATCGTTAGTATCCCAGTTTGGATTAAATTTAATTATTTTAATATGACATATTGAAGATTGAGCAAAATCTGAACTCATTAAAATATCAGTGTGGACAATTAATCTTATTACATTATTATATTTAGGAAATACTCTTGGCTGTGATTAGAAGTATTAACAGTTTCTAAAAATATAAACAGTAAAAAGAGCTAAACCAAATGGGAAACACACAGTCTTTTTCTAATTTAATAGCAAAAACAACACTATTATATTTATTCTCAAAGGCTATTAAAGCTTTCTTGGTTTGACTGTTAAAGGTTTTACCAGTCTTTTTAAAATGATCACCTATTTTTCATTTGCAAAGAAACCAAAGAATTCAGAAAATGTAAAAATTAATGTGGTAATTAAGATGGTAGATTATAATTCCATTAAAGTGAAACTCATAAATGAATTGCTAAAACATGAAGTCTTCTCTAGAGATCATAAATTTGTTTTACAACAATTCTTTAAAGTTAATAATGGTGTATGTTGGGGGAGATTAAGCCATAACAGCCACACACAATAAACTGAAATGAGGAATTACTGAAGGCAATGAGATGTGTGGAAGTTACCTAAAAAAGACCAAGTGAGAGGAAAATATGTTTTAAATAGGAGTGCAAATAGAAGGGATAAAATACAGAGAAAATGGAAGAGCAAAATAAAAAGACATTTAGATTTTAGACTGTGCATGAAAGAAGATTTATACCAGGGCCCTGGGTGACAGTTCAGGGGCTAAATCTTTGCCTTGGATGTGCTGGAATCCCCTATGGCCTGAGTTCGTGTCCCAGATGCTGCACTTTCCTTGTGACCTGGGAAAGCAGTCGAGGATGGCCACGCCGCCGGGCCCAAATAAATGTCTTTTTAAAAAGTAAAGAAAGGAAAGACTGAGGAAAGGAATGAAAGAAGATAGAAAAAGAAAGGAAAAAGAAGAAAAAAGAAAAGAAAAAACAAAAATGTTCCCAGCGAAGAACCAGTGACTGCTACTTTCCTGTCTTTGCTAGGGCAAGTGGAGGAATATGGAACTGTGACAATCCTGAAACAGGCGGGAAAAAAATTTAGATCAAAGTCACAGTTTTTCAAAGTATAAAGCTAAGATTTTATTAGTAAAAAAATTGATGAGTCTAGATTGCAGAACAAAGAATATTAAATTCAAGTTGAGTTTGATGTCCTCGTTGGAATACACAGATAACATACATTCCATAAATAAATGCAACAGGTGTAAAGAATAAGGCAAGTTAAGAGCAGTACTAAACTTTGATTCTCTAAGTCAACTTTAATGTGGGTGTGAGTCATCTAGGATTCTAGAATGCACTTTCTCTTCTAGTTCGTATGAGATGATGTGTGATTCTGTGTATACATGTACACATATAAAGATTTTATATATTGAAAAGATAGAGTTACAGAAAGAGAGGGAGAACCAAACAGATTTTCCAGCTGTTGCTTCCATCCCTAAATGGCTGCAATGGCCAAGCTAGGAGCCTGGAACTTTGTTTGGTCTCCTATGCGAGTTTAGGAGCCCAAGGACTTGGGCCATCTTATGCTACTTCTTCAGTCATATTAGCAAAGAGCTGAATTGTAAATGGAGCAGTCAGGACTCAAATTGGCACCCATAGAGGATGGCAGCATCATGGGCAGCAGTTTAACCCACCACATCATGCACCAGATTTGAGATTCTCAGTTTCTAAGGACTGTATATGTGTTGCCCAACTTACAAATCTGATGATCATGTTTTGGATAATAAAGTGCATCTGTCCTCAGACATTGCCTCTTGTTGGAATCCCCTAGAAATTAAAACCCAAACAAACAAAATAATGCTTGGTTTGTGCTTCGGAGTTTTTGAGGACATTGGTCTGAAATGATGTCTAATTCTGAGATTTAACTTCCAAGGCAATTCTAATCTGCTGCAAGGTTTCAGACCCAATGCCAAAGTGGTAGTTGTAAAAAGGAACAACACACAGAAAGAGGGGTACATAAAAGGAGAAAAACAATAAAGAAAAACAAATATAGATATGAGAAAGAAGCAACCAGATGAAATTTGTATTCTGTAAGTCAATTCAGAAGACATTAAAACATAATTAGTATTATCAAACAGTGCAGAGAATTTTGAAAACATGAGCCCAGAGTAAGTAGTATGTGAGATTCTGGTGGTAGGGAGGCCTGGGATAGTCTTAAACAGGTTTTACTTTAGGTAAAGGGTAATTGTTATTATTATTGAAGACATAGTAACTCAGCAGTGTACTTAGGGCTTGTTGTGAATTAATTCTTGCTAGTAATAAAAGAGAATAACATACTAAAAAAGTTAGAAAAACTTAAATTCCACTACACATGCAATACATAATGATTTTATGTATTTCATTAAAAATGGTTCATTTTCATGTATTAATAGATTATAAAATTATGATAGTTTGATGAACTAATTTATTAATAAAAAGGTTCATAACATTAACATTAGTTTGCAAGTATTAAAAGTGAATTTTTCAGCAGTCAAGATCTCCAATAGTTCTAATAAGCATTAATTCACCACGTATATATTATATCCTCCAAATAGAGGTACTAAGCTCAGATAAAAATGAACATAGGACAAACTAAAGTAGTTTTTGTTAGATTCATATAGCCACATTAGGCCATGTTTATTGAATCTGAAAAAAGATATGAAGGAATTAGCATGTACATGTCTTCCTTTCTTCCAACTATATTTTTAAAGGATTTATTTATTAAAAGTAAATGAAAGCTCGGATTTACAGAGAGAAGGGGAGAAAGAGAAAGAGAGAGAAATCTTCCCTCTACTGGTTCACTCCCTAAGTGGCCGCAATGAGCCTATCCAATTGGAAGCTAGGATCCAGGAGCTTCCTCCAGGTTCCCAACACAGGCACAGGGTCCCAAAGCCCTGGCCATCTTCCACTATCCTCGCAGGCCACAAGCAGGGAGCCAGAGGCAAGTGGAGCATCCGGGACACAAACCGTTGCCCATACAATCCTGGTGCATGCATGGTAACCTTTTCTCTTCAGCAATGTCTTCATGATGCTTAGCACCAAATGACCACAGCTTAGTCAGACAACATTGTTTCTTGAACAAGACTCCTTCATTTACCAAATGTTAATGCCCTGCTTAAAACTTTGACAGGAAAAGCAGTTTGGGAAGGCGTTAACTCTTACAATTGCTAACAACGACTTTCTAGAAAGCAAAATTCAGAACGTTAGCCAGTGGTACTCAGCATGCTTCTCACCAAGGCATCATCTGCGTTACCATGAATACTAAGGAGTTCCAAGGCATGTTCATGTGTTAGTGTTTTCTTTGGTAAAATTCCATTCCAAATATTTTGCTGATTTTTCTGTTTTCTCTCATTCTTATCTAATTTCCTGAGCACTAGTCTATCGGATCTGTGTTGTATAAATATCTTCCACCATTCTCTGCCTTATAGTTTAACTCCTTAATGGTTAAACAGAAGTTGTTTAATTTTTATCAACTATGTAAGTCAGTTACATTGGTTAATTATATTTACTTAAAATATTTTATTTAAAAATCAATATACGTTGGTTTTTATTTTGGAAAACCTGTTCCATTTGATAGTTAGATGTAGTTCATGGCCAAGTGTATATGTAGATCACATTCTTGAATTGTAATGTCAACCTGCTACCTTTTTCAAAGCAGTATTTTCCTGAAAATATTTTTTAAAAACCAAAAGAAAACCAGCAGGCATTTTGCCCATTCCAAAATATGAGATTTTAGTATTGCCTTATAAATAAATCAAGGCTGCTTCTTAAAGTAATTAAAACCTAGAATTATAATTGCAACAAAAAACAGAGTATTAGAATCTCAAAGTTCACCAATGATCATTGTCCCTCCTGAAAGTTGCCAAAAACCAGTGAGTTCCAATAGTTTATGCAGGAATGTGATAGCATTTAGGAAAATAGAGTAATATATTTTATAAAAGAAATTTCAGGAGTAAAATAACAGATGGAATAGCCTATCTCTCTTGCTTTCTCTCTCGCACACTCTTCTACTTTCAAATAAATAAAAAACAAATGAGAACAATTTCAAAATCGTATTTTAAGAATTTTAGCCTTACACATGACAGGTATTTTGAGTACATAAAGTTAAAAAGTGAAGAATTAGACACATTTGGGTCATTTTGCCTTCATAAATTATTTAATCAGTCCCATATTGGAAAGTTGGCAGATAAATTACTGTCCAAGTTAAGGTATTTTTGAGACTGACGTGGGTCAGATAGAATGCTACAGAAGACAGAAAAGGAATCAGGACCCTGGCCAGATTTTGGGGGGTTGAAATTGGAGATACTTTTAAGTTTTTTGGGGGGATTGAAATTGGAGATATTTTTAAGTTTTTCCAATAATGAAAAATGTTGAAATAGGTTTATTATATTCTGAAATCCTTTGGAAAGCATAACCAAAGAGTGAATCACTAAAAACATGTCAAAATCCTTGTGGTTTTTTTATTTTGTTATATAACTAAATTAGTCCCCAAAATGCTATACCGATATTTCCTCTTACCAACAGAATATGACTGCAATTCCACAGTCTTTCAGAAAATAACTAATAAACATTTTTGGGGGGTAATTCAGTATAATATCACTTTTCTGTTATGCTTAGCAGCTTTTTAACTTTAAGTGATATGCATCATTTTTTTTTTTTTGCTTCTTGATTTGTCTTTTTAATGTAACTTACTTATTCATAGCCTTGCCCATACAACTGTTACTGGTTTATATCAACACTCTGAAATCATTCACCT